TTCTCCAAAAGATCAGGGAGACGTCCTCTGTGGGAACAGTGCCGGCTCTGTGTCTGACGTAAGATTTTCCACCCAGGTTTGAGGGAAGGAGGTGAGTAGCATGTTAATGAAGTGGGCTGGAGGGAGACCAGAATGTGAGGTGTGGGGGTGTTAACATCACAGAGAGGACAGTGTGAAATCCCAGCTAAGAAAAGAAGGGAGAGAGAAAAGAGAAGGCATCACACTGGTCTGAATCTAGGCCTGCCGTCCACCCAGTACGGCCAGTCCAGAGGAACTGCAGTAGGGCTTGAGGCCAGCCAATGGATAGAGGGCGAGGCTCTGGGGTCTCTCAGCAAGTTGGTGAAGGATGGAGCCCCCATGCCTAGTTTCACCTCAGCTCACCATTCCAGGCCTCAACAGTCCCATTAAAGCAGAGCTGTGGCCCAAGGGTTGGAGCACGTGGAACAAAACAGGGGGGGAAATCTCTGGGGCTAGAAAATGGTGTAAGTAGCCAGATTCTAGGATCTGTGAATATCAGGAGTGGAAGGAATCCCAGGGGCCACCTGATCCAGCCCCTCCCCAAAGCAGGAACCTCCTCTGCTTTAGCCCTGAAATGTTTATCCAGCTTCCTCTTAAAGACTCCCTGGATGGGGGACTGAGAAGGCAATATCATTCCCAAGGAAGACACCTACTATGTGCAAGGCACATTTTATAATTATTATTTCATTTGATCCCCACAATAACCCTGGGAGGTAGGTGCTCTTATTATCCCCACTCTACAGTCAGAGAAACTGAGGCAAACATTTTTTTTAAGTGACCATCCCAGGATAACACAGCTAATAAGTGGCTGAGACTGGATTTGAACTCAGATCTTCCTGAGTTCTATCTGCCGTGCTACCAGCTGTCTCAGACACTCAAACTGAAGACGTTACAAAGACCTCTGATGAGCCAGTCTCTATCTGAAGTGTTATACTTACTTCCAGGCACCACATTTCAGGAGGAGCATAGACAAAGTGGACCTAGCCAAGAAGAGGGCAGCTTAGATGGGGAAGGAGCTAGACTCTGGGGACTGGGGTTGCTCAGCCTGGAAGGAGGAGATGTGGGGATATGACGATTGTCTTCAGGTATGCGAAGGGCTCTCTGTGGAGGAGGGTCAGGCGTCCATTCTGCTCCAAAGGATTGAGAACAAACAGTAAAGAAAGGCAGATTTGGGCTCAGTGGAAGGAAAAACTTCTCGCCAAAGCTGCCCCAGAGTGGAGGGTGCGGTCCAGGTGCGATGGGGGCCTGGAGGCAGCTCACACCGGCTCACAAAGTCCCATTGTTCAGCCTTCAGTGTGAGACTTTACACCAGGGCCTGATTCAGCAATCTGTTGCTTGTCTAGACTTAAGAAGTGATGGGGGAAATGTTACTAATGTAATTTAGGCTTCAAAGTGTGCCTTCTGTCCATCCCCCTTCCCCCACACTCATCCCTGGGGCAGGGGAGGGGGAGTGGACAAAGTCCCCATCCCTGCACATCTTCAGGGGAAGCTGGAGCAGCGTCTGGAGATGTTGTACAAACCAGCTCGGCCACCTCTTGTCACTTAGCCTCAAGGACCTTTCCTCAAGCATAAAAGAGTGGGAGGGAGGGTTGGCTCCTTAGGCCCCGCCGTGCTCTAGATCTATGATATTAGGAGAGGCTTGTGCACCCAGCAAGGATGGCCTCAGAGTGCCCCTTGCACCCTGAAAATGGAGTGGCGGGTCTTAAAGGATGACACGGGATGGGCGTGGACCTTTGGAGCAGGGGCAGAGACCGCTGGACACAGCACAGCATGAGTGCAGGCAGAGGCATGGGGGAGGCCATCCCGTCATCCGACTGGCATAGCTGAACTGTAAAAGGACACGGGAGACCTGACTGCCACCACACCAATTTAGCAACAGAGGAGAAGCAAAATGGCAGTAGCTGCTAACCCCAAAAGAGGGCAGCTGGGGGCACCACAGTGCAGTCAGGAAGACTCATTTCCCTGAGATTGAATCCAGCCTCAGACACGGACCAGCCAGCTCCACCTCCATTTTCAGGGTTCAAGGGGAGCAGGTCCAATTACTGGCTCACAGAATATGGGGCAGAGAATTAGGTGCAGGCAAGGTGGGAAAAGCCAGGGTGATAAAGGCCTGTAAAAGCCAAAAAGAGAATTTCATAGTTGGCCCTATAGTTGGAGGCAATAGGAAGCTGCTGGAGTGCATTGAGTAGAGGGATGATATGATCAGACCTGAGCTTTAGGAAAATCTCTTTAGTGGTACAGTGGAGGCTACACTAGAGTAGGGAGAAACTCAAGGCAGGCAGACCCCTCCCCCAGCAGTCTTAGTGTGAGGTGTTGAAGGTCCGAGGAGAGGGAGCCATGTTTAGGAGATGGTGCAGAGGTGAAATCGACAGGCCTTGGTGCCATATTGGATGTGGGGGTTGAGAGATGGTGAGGAGGTCAGGAAGACTCCTAGGTTGGGAGCCTGCAGGACTGGATGGAGGCTGGTGCCCTCTACAGTAAGGAGGAAGGGGGAGAGGTCGTTTGGGGAATGATGAGGTCAGTTTTGGACTTGCTGAGTTTGAGATGGCTACTGGACATCCAGTTTAAAAGGTCTAATAGTAGTTGGAAATTCAAAACTGGAGGTCAGCAGAGGCTAGGGGTAGATAAGTAGATTTGGTACCCTGGTAGAGGCGATAGAATTCGTAAGAGCTGATGCGATCACGAGGCTCAATAGTGTAGAGGGAGAAGAGGGCCCAGGACATCTACTGTTGGGTGAGCGTGACCCGGATGAAGAGCCAGCAAAGGAGACTGAGGAGCCAGAGAACAGGAGTCAGTGATGTCCCTCAAACTTGACGAGAGAGAATCAAAGAGATGAAAGTGACATTGTCAAAGGCTGCAGAGAAACTGAGAAGGATGAGGGTTGATGTTCTGAGTGCCTTTTACCAACTTGCAAATAATTAGAGCCTGGAGTCAGGAAGAACTGAGTTCAAATCCAGCCTCTGACACTTTCTAGCTGTGTGACCCTGGGCCAGTCACTTTACCCTGTTTGCCTCAGTTTCCTCATGTGTAAATGGCGAACCACTCTAGTATCTTTGCCAAGAAAACCCCAGATAGAGCCATGGAGAATTGGGCACAACTGCAAATTGGCTGAACAACAAAGATAATTGGAGGGGTGGGCAGCTAGGAGGTCCTCCAATGGGGTGAGGATTCCCCAAGGCTCTAGGGTAGTGATTGTCCTGGACATTAACTTCCAGGTTGGAAAAGTAGGTGTTCGCCAGTCACTCCCTGAGCACATGGTCATTCTCCCGAGAGGGCTCGTGGGGCCTCTGGAGATACTGATGAGAATGCATTAGCAACAGGCCCAAGGGAGATTGACCATTTACTTCTCTGTTGTGTACAAGAAAATTAGGTTAGTTCGGAGCTGACACACTCATTTATTCAGACACAGACCCACTTACATGCATGTGGTCATCAGTGCTCTACTGCTGGCCATCAGTTACACATACCAAGGTTCTGGGCCTTTTGTCTTCACCCTGGGCACTCTCTATTCCTGTGTAGAGGTGAGTGGGGGCTCTGAGCTATTCCGTTCCGACGGCCCTTTCTGCCAGGACTGAGCTGTCAGAGCTTTCTCCATAGGGATCACTACTCATTCAGTGTCTAGGCTCAAAGCACCGGCACGGCATGCCAGCCCCTCCCTGGCCCCGGTACCCATTCTCTTCCCACTGCCCAGACCCTCCAGAAATCCTCACATTGCCCACGGATCCCCAGCACTCCCATGAACTGCCTCATACCCTTCCAGTTGGGCTCATCCCCAACTAGTCCCTTTCTCCATCACAAACAACCAAAGGCCGGCTTCTGACCAAACATACTCTACATATTACCAGTGCCAGGGGAGCATCCCTGAGCTACCTTCCAGTCAGGGAGAAAACTCATTTCACTGTACAATTGAGAAGTCCCTCCTTCTACCATTCTCTATCCATTCTACATCCCCCTCAATGCCTGGTGCCTTCCTTCCGTTCATTACCTCCATTCATTCTGTCTACACCTTCATGCTAGGGTAGTGTTTATGCAATTGAGGGGAGGGGAGGGATGTGAGAATCCCCCAAAGTCTACCCCTGTGTCGTAGGGGAATAAAGCCCTTGCCAAGCAACGGATGGCCCGAACAAGATTGCAGGGACAATGTCTAAACTGCCATAAGGAAGAGTCTTTGCGCCTCTGAGCCTCAGAATCTTCATGTGTAAAGTGACTGGGTAATAGAATTCTTTCTTCATGAAAGCAGACCGGGCTGGGTTCCTGCCGCTTACTTGCTGTAAGTGGGCAGTTTATAAGCGGGTGGGTGGGCTGGCAGGATCTGGCTTTGAGGGGTCAGAGAGGGCTTGTCACAGCCTGGCAGCTTTAAACGCTCCTGCCGCCCTCAGGCCGAGGCACAAGGCTGACCTCTGATGGCCTCTCCAGTGGGTTCGTGTAGCTGCCAATGAAGGTGTCTGGAGAAGATGGTGTGGGTCTAGTGGAAGAGCCTTGGCCTGGGGGTCAGGAAGGCAAGAGACCTGGGTTCTTGGCCTGCCTTTGTTTCCACATGAAATCACTTCTCTCTTGTCCTCCGTTTATTTCCTCTGTCAAATGGGAACAGTCACGTCTGCCCTGGCAGCCCCAAGGGGAGTCCTTTTCTGGGCCTCTGGCCCTTGAGTGGAAGCTCTAACACTGGCTGAGTCACCTTCAGCAGGTCACTCGCTCTCTTCCAGCCTCAGTTTACTCCCCAGTAAAATGAGAGGGGGGCCTAGGAGACTCCCATGGACCCTCTTGGCTCTGAGGATCTCTACCTCTGTCCTCCATTCACAAACACAGATCGAGCATCAGCCCAGCACCGAGCTCCGTGCTAGGTTCTGGAAGAAACAAAATGATAAGGCCTAGCCGTCTGCCCTCCTACAGCTTGCGGTCTGTCAGGAGGCCCTGGGGGTGGGGGTGGGGGGGCCGGCACCTGGAGCCCTCCCGACTAACTCCCTCTCCTCCTCTTGTTCCAGCTGCTGCTGTCCTGCTTTCTCTAGCGTGGTGGGCCATGGTCTGCCAGGGCTAACCCTCTGTCCTCTCTCACCTGCCCTCCTAGGTGGGTATGGATCCCTTTACATGGCATGTCTTCTCTCTGCATGCCAAACCCAGCAGGGTGGGCACCTGCCCGGGGGCTCTGCTGCCAAGGTAGGGGTGGGGGAGCAGGAAGCATGTGCAGGCAGTGGGCAGTGGGCAGAGGAGCAGAGTCAGACTCTGCACTGACTGTCTGGGAGCCCAGGTGAGTCTTTGCGCCTCTGAGCCTCAGAATCTTCATGTGTAGAGTGACTGGATAAGCATTAAGGTGCTTTTCAGTGCTGACCTTCTATGTTCTGAGTGCCCTCCCAGTGCTAACACTATGTTCTAGGCCCCTCCCAGCTCCAATGTTCCATTCTAAGGCTTCTCTCAGGTCTGACATCCCCTGTTCTAAGACCCTCCCAGCCCTGACATCCCCTGTTCTAAGGCCCCTCCCAGCCCTGACATCCCCTGTTCTAAGCCCCTCCCAGCCCTGACATCTCCTCTTCTAAGGGCCCTCCCAGCCCTGATATCCCCTGTTCCCTCCCAATTCCCAGCTCCCAGCTGGCTGCCTCCTAACTGGGGCTCACTCTTAGCAAAAAAAAAAAAACCTGGTCAGAGTTCCATTTGTTATAGTGGAAAGAACTCTGGCCTTGAATTGGCAGACCTGAATTCAAATCCTGCCTCTGCCTCTTCCTAGTTGTGTTATTCTGGGTAATTCTCTTAGCTTACTTATCTATAAAATGGGTATAATTATCTTTGCACTCCTGGACCTCACAGTCTTTTTGAAAGGAAAGCACTTTATGAACTGGAGAACTCTGTCCAATGTGAGTTAGCATTAGTTCTGGAATATTCCAGGAGAGTGGTCCCAAGAGCACAGGAAGTGACCCCTCAAAGACAGGCCTTGAGCCCTAACTCTGCACCAGCAGGTAGGATTCATGGTTGGAAGGAACAGTAGAGGTGGCTTGGTTACAACTTGGAGGCAGGAAGATATGAGTTCAAATCCAGCCTCAGACACTAGTTATGATCTTGGGCAAGTGATGTTGCCTCTGTTTGCCTTAGTTTCCTCATTTGTAAAAGGGGGCCAGTAATAGTACCTCCCCCTCCAGGTTATTGTGAGGATCAAATGGGATCACATATTGAAAGCTCTCAGCAAACCTTCATTTTACAGGTGAGGAAACTGAGGCCCAGGGAGAGAAGCAGATAGCCCAAGGGGTAAATGGCTGGGCAAGTATTTGAACCCAGGTCCCTCAGACTCAGATACTGGACTCTGTTGTCTCCTTCTCCCTCTCCCTTTCACTTTCTTTCTTCCCCTCCTCTCCCTTACTCCTGTCCACTCTCCTCCCTCTCCTCCCCTCCTCCCTCTCTTTTCCTTCTCCTCTCCCCCCTCCTCCTCTTCCTCCTCCCCCTCCTCTTTCCTCTCCCTCCCTCTCCTCCTCCCCTCCTCCCCCTCCTCCTCATCCTCCCCCTCCCTTCCTTTCCCCTCCTCCCTTTCCTCCTCCTCCTCTTCCTCCTCCCTCTCCTCTCCCTCCTCCCTCTCTTCCCTCTCCTCCCCCCCTCTTTTCCTTCTCCTCCTCCCCCTCCCTTCCTTTCCCCTCCTCCCTTTCCTCCTCCTCCTCTTCCCCCCTCCTCCTCTCTTCCTCCTCCCTCTCTCCTCCTCCTCCCTCCTCCTCTCTCCTCTCCCTCCTCTCTTCCCTCTCCTCCCCCCTCCCTTTCCCCCTCCTCCCCCCACCCAGGGGCCTGGAACCACCCTGTGAATCCAGCCACGTGCTCTTGTCTCACCTTGCGGCATTTATCCTCCAGGGTTTCCACACTCCAGTTTTCTTTGAAAAGCTGAGGAGCAGATGAGGGGAGGCAGGCCTGGGGCCTTCCTGAGCCAGGGTGTCCTTTCCTCGGGCCAGGCCATGCCCTTGCAGGATCCCTGGGAGCACAGTTGGCCATGCAGTCAAGGGTCAACAAGGATCCCCTACCCACAAAAACTGGGCACTTCTTTCTGTGTCTCTCAGTCCAGCCATTTGACCCGACCTCAGGGTCGGCTCAGCCTCATGTATTTACTGGTTGTGTGACCCCGGGCAAGTCACTTAACCCCTCACAAGCCTCAGTTTCTTCATCTGTAACATGAGGATGGAGCTGTCATGACTGTCAGGTGAGATGATCCGTGCAGAGTGCTTAGTGAGCTTTTGCGTGCCCTAGAAAGGCCAGTTCTCAGTATGACCTGCTCCCCCTCCTTGGCTCTCCGTGGCCCAGCCCCCCATCCTGTGATCATGCCAGTTTCCACAGCGTCTCTGGCACGTCCTGCCCCCCAAGCTCCATCACACGTGTTCTCTGTGCCCAAGACCTCAGCCAGCTAAGCCGCCAGGCCCCAGGGACCCACGCAGACAGCCAGACTTTCCAGGGCCCACCGCAGGCCTCCCCGGCTCTCTTCTCCTTCCTCCTGTCGGGATGCTCAGGTCTTTGGCTACACTGCACGGGTCCTTCAGGATAGGAGAACGGCGTGTGCCTGAGTGGAGTTATTTATTGGCAGCAGCCTCTGCTGCCTCCCTGGCCCCTGGCCCCATTACACGGCTGCCCTGCCTGCTTGACTGTGCTAACACAAGACCTCTTTGGGATCAGGTCTCCTGCCCCATCACCTCTGACTGGATCTACAGAGGATGCCAACCCTCTGAATGAACACGGGATAGTTTGGCCCCGTACATTTCCAGAGGCGGGCCCAATTGCTCATTTTTCATCTGGGCACTGGCCTCATGTACCTGTTTAGCTGGATCATCCTCCTTGGATTCTGTGTAGACTGGGGGACTGAAGATGGGTTTGGAGGAGGGAGTCAGTTACCCAGACCCAGCACCAGGTCATGAAATCCCCCCCCCCCAGAATTAGCACCCTGGGAACATGTAGGTACGCTCCAAAGGAGGTCTTGTCCACCTGGCATGGCCAGTCTGGGCTCCAGAAAGCCACCAGGCATCTGCTTTCACTGGAACAACTCAAGGGCCAATCCTTTGGGTGCAAGATGGTATCACCCCCTTGCCCCCTAGGCCTCTTGTCTCGCCCCTTTGCCCATCCCACCAGCTGCCGATTCTGCCCAAGGAAATCGAGGCAGATGAATGGTGAGGGGCTCCTCTTGGAGTTAGGGAGCATCCTGGACCTGGGTCAGGCTCCGGGTCTCCCATATCCCTCCCAAGTGGCTGCCATCTTCGCTTTGCCCAAAGACCTCCCGTGAAGGGAAACCCGGTTCCCTGAGGCCACCCCAGAGGCAGCCCCCTCGCTCCGGTTATTAGAAATGCCTTCCTTCCGTCAAGCCTGATCTCCCTCTCTGTGACCACCCCCAGCCTGGCTCTGCCCTCCGGGGCCAGACAAACAAGCCTGGTCTCTTCCAACTGAAGGCCCTTCAGATAATTGGAATAGTGAGCGTTGATTGGCATAACACTTTAAAGTTAGCAAAGTACTTGGCCGATGTCAGTCCTCACCACAGCTCTGGGGAGCTAAGTTCCCATTTTGCAGATGAAGAAATTGGGCCTGAGAGAGACCAAATGCGTTGCCCATGGTCACATAAGTAGTAAATGAGACAGAATTCGAATTCAGGTCTCCTTGTCTCCAAACCTGACTCTCTGTCCATTGCTCCACTCAGCTATCGCTGAGGGGTTGGCCATCGTGTCCTGGCCTTTTCCCCAGGTCCTTCAGTGGCTCTTCTCATGGCCTGCCTTCTACCCACTCCCCGCTCTGGCCCCCTCCTCTGAAAATGTCTCTGCTTCAGATATGGTCTGCTAAGGGCAGAGGACAGCCTCTCTGAGCTAGGCACCGCTCTTTTACTGGCCAGGCAACCTCAGATCTGCTGAACCACACTGTTTTCTTGGGTACCTGTGGGACCTTGAGTAAGTTATTCTGAGGCTTTGTTTCCTTCTCTGTAAAATGAAGGGGCTGTTTTCTGAAGAAGAAAAAGAAAGGGGAGGGAAGAAGTCAAGATCCAAAGGGTCCGTACGAGTTCAGAAAAGGCAAAACCAAGGTCTTATGGAAATTGGCCGCTACCTCATTGTATATTCTGAGCCAATTCCGAGGCTATAATATGATACAATGCACTCCTACTCTCTTCCCCATTTTCATCTGAGCCAGCCATACCTGCCACCATTTCTCCCCAGGCCCGTCCATCTGGAGAGCTGGGCGTCTCGCTTCTGCCTGTTGAGATGGTAGCATCTTCTTTGCACCCATTAAAAGTTCCCGATTTGCTCAGTGACATGCACTTGAAGTCTGTCTCCTCAGCAGCTTTGCTTTTGGAAGGGATCAAAGGCATTAGCTGGGATTCTGCACAGTGCAGGCCTGTTTTCCATCAGCCCTGGATTAATTACTTTAAATTTAAAATTTAATCAATGAACAAAAATGGAGCTGCTTCCAGGGGAGCCAGGATTTTCGTCTCAGAGTGAATGTTCTATCGAGCTGCCTCCCAGTGTGTGGGTGACTCTGTGTGGGCAGGTAGCTGGGCCCGGCCCCCTCCCCTAACCTCTTCTTTGCCCGGCAGCTGCCAGGCCAGAGCCACCATGGATGACTACGACATCAGGTCGGCTGCCAGCATCCTGGCCTCCGTCAAGGAACAGGAGGCCCGCTTCGAGCGGCTTACACGGGCCCTGGAGGAAGAAAGGCGAAATGTCTCCCTGCAACTAGAGCGGGCCCACCAGCCCTGTGAGCAGCCTCGGGCCAGCACGTGCGCCATTGGCAACGGGCAGCCCCTGGCTACCGCGTGGCAGCAGCTGGTCCTGCAGGTAACGCATCCCTGCATGCCCCCAGCATGGCTCCGTCATCGATGGCCCGCTCCTGGGCGGGGCTGAGGGCAGGGACAGAGGCAGACAGCTGCTGTCCCTCTATTGTCCCTCACATGCCACGTCCCTGGCCATGCCAGGGTCCTCACTCCCCTCTCCGGATAAAGCGCTGGCCTAAGGCTCTGCTGCAATATTCTCGGCCCTTCCTGCATCTGGCAGGAGGTAGTTCTGGGGGATTGAAAACCATTTGTTTTTCCCCTGATATGTCTGCATGCATGGATGTGCACTCCTCTGTGTATGGTGGTCTCTGTGTGTCTGTGGGTCTCTGCATGTATGTAAGTGTGAGGGCATGAGGGTCTGGGCCTGTCTCTGCATGCCCTTGCATTTTGCTAGGGATGAACCTGAGGGTGGGCATTGGTGAACACAGTGCCAAGGTCAGGAGCCCTCTTGGAAGGAGTGGCCCCTTGTACTGTGCCATCTGCGACGGAGCTGTGCTTTTGAGGCACAAGGCTGAAGGAGGTCGGGGCCCTAGGCCTGCCATGTTTCTGTGACTGGACTGGTCAGAGCTTGTTAAATTGGCAGGCGTTCCTGGAGGTGGCCTGGCTGGGAGGTGTCTAGGGTTGGCTGGGCCAAAGCTACCAAGGTCAACTTCACAGATCGGGGACTGAAGGTCCCTGGCCTGGCCCACAGGGACCAAGTGGCCATTTCATCTCACCAGCCACTGGTGGAGCGAGGACTTGAACCCAATCAGGTCTTCTTCATCTGAAGTCCAGGGCTTTTCCCACTGTCGACCCTATGAAGCCTTCTTGGGGACTGGGTTATTCTGATTGACAGCTAGAGTCTCTGCCTGGCCACAAATGGGCCTGGGGTGAACTGCTTACTCTACTTTCTCAAATGTGCCAATAGATGATGCAGCCAGAGTCATCTAGTACTCAGCCAGCTAGGTTTGCACAGGGGAGAGAGATATAGTCCAGGAGTGTCTCCTGGGTCCAGGAGAAGGCTATGTAGCAGGGCTTCTCCACCTGGAGTCTGTTGACTTATTTTGCTCATATTTTGACAACTGTATTTCAATATTTCAATGTTGTCCTCTTGTTTTTTGCATTATTCATTTAAAAATATTATTTTCAGAAGGGATCCATAGGTTTTCCTAGATGAAATAAGAATGATAAAGAAACCTGGTATAAAGGATTATAGCTTTAGAGCTTGACAGAAACTTGGTGGACATGGGGTGATAGATCTAGGGCTAAGAGGAAGTTTAGAGGTCATCTAGTTCTATTCCCTCATTTCACAGATAAGGTTCAGTGACTTGTCCGTGGTCACACAGGGAGGGACAGCCAGAGTTTGTACTCCAGCTCCTGTGACTCCCGATTCTTATTGTACATGTTAGTAAATATCCCTCTCTGAAAGCTTCTTGAGGGTGGAATGATTATTAACTGATAATCTTAGGGGAGGCACACCAGTGGGGGCTCAAGCTGATGGCATCAGAGATTCGAGTGATTCTCAACTGATAATCTTAGGGGAGGCACACCAGTGGGGGCTCAAGCTGATGGCATCAGAGATTCGAGTGATTCTCAACTGATAATCTTAGGGGAGGCACACCAGTGGGGCTCAAGCTGATGGCATCAGAGATTCGAGTGATTCTCAACTGATAATCTTAGGGGAGGCACACCAGTGGGGGCTCAAGCTGATGGCATCAGAGATTCGAGTGATTCTCAACTGATAATCTTAGGGGAGGCACACCAGTGGGGGCTCAAGCTGATGGCATTAGAGATTCGAGTGATTCTCAACTGATAATCTTAGGGGAGGCACACCAGTGGGGGCTCAAGCTGATGGCATCAGAGAATTACTTCCAACTCCTCAGGTGTACCCCGAGAACCCTGATGGGGAGCTGGGGACCAGACTTGTCAGTAGGAGTGAGAGTTGACAGAAGGATGACCCAGGTGTTTCCATGAGCTGCACGGGTACCCTTTCCATCATACTCCCTTGCCTCCCTGTGAAAGAAAAGCCTAGTGTGCCTGTTGTGTCTAGATAGCCTACGAGGGGTGGGGGACCTGCGGCCTCAAGGCCACATGTGGCCCTCTAGGTCCTCAAGTGCAGCTCTTTGACTGAATCCAACTTCCCAGAACAAATCCCCTTAATAAAAGGATTTGTTCTGGAAAACTTGGAATCAGTCAAAAGGCCGCACCCAAGGACCTAGAAGGCCACAGGTCCCCCACACCTGGCTACTGTATAAGTACAAGCTAGGCCCAACCCTGATTAGCTTCCAATATCAGATGAAATTGGGTACATTCAGGGTCGATTCCGTTGGCACATTGGACTATGCCAGCACATGGTAAGTGCCTGATAATGTTCAACTGATTGATTGATGGCACCAATATGTTCTAGAGCCCCCAGGCCAGGAGTGTGGTAGGAACTGGGATCTGGCTCTTCTGGAACAAGACCCGTCTGTCCCACGGGACCCCACCGCTGTGGCATTTGATGCTCAGGAATCCTTCCGGGGTTCTGCCAAAGCGCCCCCCATCTCTCTTCCTGGGCCCACTCTTTAGGATCTCCCTTTCAGGCTCCTTTGGGAAGGGGCATCTTGAGAAGGCCAGAGAGGCCAGACTTCCTATCGGTCACTAGGCTGGCCCCGGCCCCTCCCACGCAGGGCTTAGCCACTGGTTTGGGGGGGGGGGTTTGTTGGTGCTTTACTGCAGATTACCCAAAATAAACTAGCCCTGCATGACTCCATAGGACACGTGGGGCTCCCCAGTCCCTGCCCGGTGGCTGCGTGTTACTAAACTGGGCTTCTCTGGTGTTATTTTTAAAGGGAATCTTTTTTTTGTTTTCTGAAGAAGAAAAAGAAAGGGGAGGGAAGAAGCCAAGATCCAAAGGGTCCGTACGAGTTCAGAAAAGGCAAAACCAAGGTCTTATGGAAATTGACCGCTACCTCATTGTACATTCTGAGCCAGATCCCTCCCTCCCATTCCCCACCCCTCTGCCCACTGTCCTTTTCCTCGAAGGGTGAGCTGCATCCACACTGCCTGAGCTGAGAAGGGCCACCTCGGCTTAGCCCTCGGAGGCCGGCACCCCCAGTCGGGCACCAGGCAGGGCAGGAGTGAGCTGTCTGGATCATCAGGGGATGCACTGATGAGAATGGAGGTAGAGGGCTGAGGCCTAGGCTCTCCTCATCTCCCCATCCTGCCTTCCCTGGCTTCCTTCAAGCCTCAGCCAAAGTCCTGCCTTCTGCAAGAAGCCTTTCCCAATCCTCCTGAATCCTAGTGTCTTCCCTCCATTCATGGTCTCCAGTCTACACTGCCTATGTCTTGTCTGTAGATAGTTTGCATGTTTTCTCCCCAGTTAGACAGTAAGCTCCTTGAGGGCAGGCCCTGTGTTTTTGCCTCTCTTTGTATCCTCAGTGCTTAGAACAATCCCTGGTGCTTAGTAGGTGCTTGAGAAATCCTGGTTGCCTGACTGGTCCAGCCTCAGAGTGAGATGGTGGAGTGAGGGCCCATATTCCAAAGGTGCCTACAGAGCAGAACCCAGAGTTGGGGCACCCATGCTTCCTGAGGTGGTCGTGAAGCGTCCTTCCCAATCACTGCCCCAACAGCTGCATGAGGGCCTCTGCTGCCTCCTCTATTGAGGTAACTCTGGATTCCCTTCTCAGTCAATCTGGCCTCTGGATCAAAAGGGCTCTCACTCACCTATGGCTCTCCGACAGTGCTACATTCTATTCCCTGAACAAAGGTACAGAGCTGTCCCCATGGGCTTACACTCTGGTGGGGAGGACGTGGCCACAGCTCTCTATGGTGGGTAGAGGTGGCCTGGTCTTGGAGACAGGAAGTCCTGGGGTCAAACCCACCTCTGATACTGACTCGCTTTGAGTAACACCATTCTCCTTCGTGCGCACCTCAGACGCCTCCCCAGGAGCCACCAGCGGCATTTGCCTCAGCAGCTGCCTGAGGGTTTCTGCTGCCTTTCCCACTAGGGCAGCTCGGAACTCCTGTCTCATCCAACCTGGCCTGCCCAATGTTAAAATGAATTATCTGAAATAAAAAGAAGCTGAGGTCCAAAATTACCAAGCAAATAAATAATGATTGCAAGTCACCACTAAATCAGGTCAACTAATTCCTCAGTAATTAGTGACGAAGGAGTAATTTACAGACTTATTTTTATAACAGAAAAGAGAAATTAAAAAAACCAGGAAACTTATTTTGAACACAATTCTATTGAACAAGACAGGTTGTCTGACTAGCGTGCTTCTCCCAGGCTTTCTTAACCCAATAGTAACATTGCGCTGTCAAAGTGATATTGCCCCAGAAGGCTTACCCTACAGGTGAAGCCTTTTGTAACCAGAAAGCTTCCTGGGAAATTGTGCTCTGTAGTGAGCAGTCTCCCCACCATCTTCTAGCCACCAGCCTTAGAAGATTCCATTATTCAGCTTAATGTCTAGCTCAAGAAAAAGGGAGCTTATCCACTAAGACTTTCTCCAGCTGCCAGAGAGGGGAACTTAGCCTTTAAAAAGAGTCTTATAATCCTGTGATTATGTTATTCCTATAAAGATATGTCTTAATCTAAATTATCTGCTACTAAGTGATAAAAAGTCTTCCCAATCAGTCTAGTCACTAAATCTATAGGTAACCTAGATTTAAGGGAATATCTGTGCTAGTCTGGCTTAGCTGTTAGGGCTAGCTTTTCCTAAAGAAGGGAGCTTAATTCTACAGTCAAACTAAAAATAAATCTGAGTAATCGATACTAACTGGTTTCCTTTTTGCCAGATCCTCTGGACCAGAGGTTGGACTTTTACGACCTTTTGGGAGTCATAGACCCCTTTGGCTATACTCTGGTGAAGTCTAAGGATACCTTTTCAGAATAACGTTTTTAAATGCATAAAATAAAATACATAGAATTACAAAAGAAACCCATTGTATTGAATACAGTTATTGAACTTTAAAAAATTCAGGGACCTCAGGTTAAGAACCCCTTGTCTAGACAAGAAGGACTTTTGTTTATGTATGACCAGA